TTTAGCCTCGCCTGCCGCCAAGCCTGGCCGAAGGGTGTGTGTTTGCCTGTTTCCAGCGGCACATGGGGCTACAGAAAGTGAAATTTAATTCAGAGTGATTAAAAAAAGTGAGAAGTTTGCCCAGGTGGAGATAACTTAATGGTAGAAAGGCGCTGTGAAGTGCTGCAAGCAGCCTGACGGGCTGTCCCTGAGTTCAGAAACTCCGCAGCAGAGAACTGTGGCTAACTGGACAATTAATCGTAATAACAGATGTCTAATAACAGCCGTATTCGGAGATTCCAGCAGCTCTGTTTCTGCATGCAGTGAAAACCCAATTTAAACATAATTCCCTAGAACCTGAAAGTACTTGATGTTTTTTGCGTTTGAGCTGACTTCCTAGCTGCTGGTGTTACCGTGTATGTGTCTGTGTGTATTTTCTTGAGTGGGGTCTTTTAATAGCGCGCGTGTTCTCTGCTTGCACCTCTCCCCGTCATCATTTCTCTGGTAACGAAACTCGGGTCAGCAGGGTAAAACTGTTGGATTTGATTTCTGGTGACCGTGCAGTTTTTGAAATAAACTGTTGCATACATAGATTGATAAAAATTTGCAATAGTGGAATGACAGGCATTAATATACAGTTTTTGGGTTTCAGCCTAATTAAAATGATAGGAGAACACAAAGGAAGGAAGTCTGAACAGTTGTGCTCCACTGGGGAGTTAAAAAAGGCGGTATTGAGTTAGAGACCAGCCAGCTGCGAGTGCTAAGTTCGAGTTATTATTTTTTATCAGAATGAAGATAAATGAAATCACCAGTCATTAGCTCAGAATGTGTAAAGAGCTCCGAAATGTCTTCGCACACACAGCGGACTCCCAAGCGGCCGCTGCAGCTAGCACTGCTCGGCGCAGCCTCTCTGCCTCCTTGCAGCCGTTAAGAGGATGCAGCAGCTTTGCTGCAGGGTTATCCACACTCGACTTACCTTTTCTTCGGCTAATTTGATGTCTAAGTCGTACCCACGCAGTGAAGCAAGCTGACAACAGCGTGGGATGAGTGGGTTACTGAGTAGGGTGCTTTGCTTAGGAGGTGGTGACTGGTTAGTAGCCACGGTCCTGCGTGGGTTAGCTAGTCTGTGTTCATATTGCCACTGATGTCAGCACGTAGGGGACAAATTTAAGCTGCAACTTTAAACTTGCAAACGCTTACCCTTTTCCAAGGCTGGGAAGGAAGTAAGGGCTTGGAGACATCTGTAACCACCCCTGTAAGCAGAAAACAGGTTTTTAGATGATGGGCCTTCCTCTTTTAGACCTAAAGGGCAGCAGGGCCCGCAGGCGTCTGGTTCCCTTGTTCTTTTAGGCTAGCTAGCAGAAGGATCCACCCCATGAAGTAAATAATTAGGAGGGCCTGTGCAAAGTACTGTTGTAATTTGGAAGGAGAAGCAATCTGTGCCCTAGTAATTCCCATTCATATTTTATTTCTCTCATCTCTGAAGGGAAGGGCCTGGGGATGGTGTAGTAGACATGTAGAATAAAATGTAGACACTTTATTCCTATTTCCCTTTCCTTTCTCTTCTTTTCCCTCTAGCAGAGAATGGCTTGCTAATCCTGGGAAGAAGCTACCAGCCTGAGTTTCTGTTGGGGTGACCCTGGCTGCTGTGTGCTTGACTTCTCATAGGGAGACAAAAGGCTTGTTTTCTTTGAGTCACCACTGATTCTCTCACAATTGACTATTTAAAAAGAAATATCTTGTGCTACTTAACCTTTACCTTTGTGTTCACAAGGACTCTTACGGATGGTTAAAGTTGCTACATTAACCTGTTAAAGTGCTTTGTATATCAATCCTCTGTTTGCTTAGGAACAGGATTAAAAGTTGTATCTGAATTTTCTTGAGTTTAACTGTGGCTGCTGGAACACATTATTTGTAGCCGGTAAAAATGAGATAAATACTGTGTTTCTTCAGTGTGATAGCCCTAACGAAGAAGAATTTTAGGAAGTAGGGATTTTTTTATGACTTCAACTGCAGCTATATCCCTGGACTGGTAACACCTTCTCTGGAAAAAAATGGGCCTGTGGCCAGCCGAGCTTAAGTATGAGCTCACCTTCCACTGGGACTGCCTGTCCTGCTTTCTTGAAAAGCATCTGTATGCAGGGCTTATTCGCCGTGCTCTTGCTTTGGTTGTGGATTGTCCTGTTGGAGACAGAAGAGGAAGCTTGATCGGGCTTCACACCTTATCCTTTCTCCCCACATGAAGGCAGGCAAAAAGCCAGCAGGAGAGCAGCAAAATACATTTTATGCTGGAACACTTAATCTCTACAAATTTTCCCATGGAACATGGCTTTTCCCTTTTCTTGCACGGTATTTTCATGATACTGAATGTTGTCCATTAATCTGATATCCTTGAGAACTGTCAAAAATAGAACACTCATGTGAGTTGCAGGATTTATTTACCTTCTCCTGAAACATGGAAAAATCTCAAAACACAGGAAACATATTAGAACAACGAATCATTATACTGAGGAATTTGGTAAAAGAATGGTTATTTTTTTCTCTGCTGCTCCTCCTGCAATAGAGACCGTCAGGAGTAATAACAGAGATGTATTTAGCCAACCATGGAAGAAACGAGAGCACAAATGTGTTTATCTTCCTCTGTTGGTAGAAAGCACATCATTTCTGTGTAATCTACCATAGTGGATGGGGAATTGAGAGATGCCCTGAGCTATGTTGTACTGAGCTGGAGGGGAGGCAGGACAGGCACCGGGTGAACAGGCAGAAGTGCATTTGCTTGGGAAGCTGAACAGGATTTGACAGAAGTAGTGAAGAAGTCAGAGAGAGAAGTGGCTTCTTGTGTTCTCAGGCAGGAATTCCCTCTCCAGACACGGTTCTTTGAAAATGTTGCTGGCTAACAAGAGTGAGACAGTCTCTTGTTGATGTCATGAGAATAGGAGAGCCTAAAGACATCACCAGTAGGAATGTGCGAGTTGGAGTAAAACAGGAATTGATTGCACCTTGGAGTGAAATAAACTACTGTGAGAGACAGGCAGCGTTAGCAGTGATTTCATGCTGGGTGAAGCCAGCAGTGCCTGGGAGGCATGGGAACAGGATATTTCCAGACCAGAAAGATTTCTGATAAATGCTGGGTGGTAAGTGTTTCCCTCCCGCCTGACACTGCTCTCCCTGTAGCAATACTGTAACGTGGTTTTGCATTCTCGGGTGGGACTGGCGTGGGTCTTAAGATCTGCTCTGGGGCTCTGAATTTCCTAAATCTGGAATTCTCTGTGTCTTAACAAATGTCCTTCGACTGTGGTAGCATTTCCTTCTGTATGATGCATGGGTCAGTGCAGATGGGGTGTACATGACACTGTTAGCTGGATCTAAGAGGCTTGCCAAATCCTCAACGGTGCTTCAGAGCGGGCCCCAGACAGTTCATAAACAATGGCTTTGCCTGCATATGGGAAAGCTGCTTGACAATTTGTTTAATTACTGGGTGGAAAAAAGTTTAAACATTAAGAACTGAACCATGTGTCATGTTCTTTAGGAAAGAAAGTAGTCTGAGAGAATGGCATTGTTATTATCCAACATACATGTAGTACTAGTCGTGCTAAAAAGTCATAGAGAATATTCTTCCCGGTGCTCTTCCCTCTCAGTTTTACTGCGGGTCATTGACACTAAAACTTGCAAAAAAAATATAGTTAGTTATGCTTGACGCTGCAGTATGCTCAAGTTAGCTTTGATATAGTACTAGTCGTGCTTAAAAAGTCATAGAGAATATTCTTCCCGGTGCTCTTCCCTCTCAGTTTTACTGTCGGTCATTGACACTGAAACTTGCAAAAAAACCCGTTAGTTGTGCTTGACGCTGCAGTATGCTCAAGTTAACTTTGATATCCAAAACAATCTAGCCGTGGCAACACAGACCATTGCGTGGGCTAATTTACACTGTAGACAAACTTACCCACGAACGAGGTACTTTCTTAATGAGGGAGCAGATACTTGCGTTGTCCGGAGATGAGCCTGTGGGAGAGAACGTTTTCCTTTGCGAGAGAAGACCTGGGCAACAGACAGATGTTCACTTTGCTGGCAGCTGTGCTGGTTAAGATGTTACCATCCCCAGATGTTTGATATTCCCATCTTGCATACGTTCCGGTCTCCTGAGCTCTGCCAGTGGAAGGGAGCCAGGAAGCACTTGCTAAATGGGCTTCAGGCAAAGTCAGCTGCATAAGCTCAAGCAGCTGATATAGGTGGCTTGAGATAATCTGACTGCCTTTGCCTGGAGCTCATGCAACCCTTCTTGACAAACCTCTGAGTATGGGATAACCTCCAGTTGGCAATGCTAAGATGTGGAAGGCAACCATCAGCCGGTGGTCTTAGAATCACAACTGCACCCTTATTCGCGTTTATCCCTTCCCTTGCGTTGGTCAGGAATGAGGTAAATGTTGTTTTAAACCATCTTTATGGTCCTTATGTTTTTGAAATTCTGATCAAGTAATGAATCTGACTCAGAGCTTCTCTAACTTATTCCCTGTTTCTTAAGCCCCTCTGTAGGATTAAAATTAGGTTCTTGTTTGTTCCTTACTTCCAGCACTCAAAGCAAACCTGGCTTGGAAACCCTAAGCTGGCCCAGTGCTGAGTGTGGAGGACGTTGGTGTAGTGATGGGACCTTGGAGGGGCTGGTTTTGTTCGCAGTGTTTGACGTTGTGAGTTCTGCAGCTGAGTGGCGTGTGATCCCAACTCGCCTGCGCAGCTCGGCCTCTCCTCGAGGAGAGTGGGTAGCTGCCTCCTGGAAAAGACCGGGCAGAAGGTTATCAGATTCTGATTCATTGCCATAGGTGTTTGGAAGTTCCCAGCAGAAATTTCCTGTGTACAGGGAAAGCGTTTTTCTAATTAAACCTACAGATTTCAGCCACCTCTGTGAAGCTGTCTAGCCATCTTGCCTAATTCAGCTCCTGGGGAAACAGGCAGCTGAGTGAAAAGAAACGGAGGTCTGGTGTGGCATCACGGTGGGAGGACTCGGCTGGGGCTGACTCACGGAGATGCGCGTGGCTCAATTCCCAGACGTCCTTTTGCCGAGGAAAGCTCCCTGGGAACCCACCGGCGAGAGCCCTGTGGTGATACCGCTGCCAGACACAATGCCGCAGGTCAGTCAGGCTCACTGATGGATAAACAGCTTCATAGTGTTTGTAGTGCAACTGCATGGGGGGAAAGACAAGCCAAGCAAGGAGATCAGATCTGTGATATGAGATAAAAATGATTATCTATGGAAGAAAAATATTTCCGTGAAAACACAAGTCCCCAGAGATAGGGAGGAGTAGAGAAAAGATTCAGATACTGAGAGAGGGAAAAGGAGAGAATTACGGCATTGTAGTTGGTGTCGAAGTCATGTCATCTTGATGAATCTCAGCTTTTAAGTGTCCAGGCGGTTAGCGCAGCCCTGTGTTCCTGCTTGGGCGGTTGTTCTTTACCAGCAGACGAGACCTGTGTGAGCTTTGCATTGCTCCTGTGTTTCGGTGAGCCATGCTCTCAGGACTGTGAACGGGAGGCAAAATTTCTCCTTCCAGGTTTGCAGTGGTGAGGGGTCCTTACGGCCTTTGGATTTCCAAGAGGGATCGGAGAAATGGAAGGGTTCATTAGAAGTTCTTTTTTCAACTAAGAGAAAAGCAGCAAGGGTGAATTAGAGAGGAATTTTTGCCAGTGCTGGAGATTCCTAACAAGGAAGCGCCACATGGGCTGTTCCACAACCGGTTCCCAACAGCGTGTCTTAATTCAACTCTTTTAATTTTTAAATTTCAAATCCAAATAAACATTATTTAGAGTAGAGTTTACTCGGGATTTTCCATCATTTCCATTCCATTTGTTTTGCTTCCATCTGATGAAATGCTCCATATAGAAAACTATTTTTTAAACAGTCTTTGTGGATTAGAAACATGGAGAAGTGGTAGTTGCAGATTTCTTTTTGAGCATTACTGACTGGGAGCAAGAAAAGGGAGGAACTGCTGTTTTTCCTTTGAAATTTCACAAGCGAAATGTTGCTTTAAAAATACGGTAACTGTTGATTTTATAGTGCTCTTGGTTCTTCTGATTTTTGATGGAGAGGGGCTTTAGTAATTCTCTTCAACATATACTGCAGGCAAAATTTTTTCCTTGTTTTGCTGCATTTAAAAATAGCTACAAATAGTGGATTTCTGTTTCATTATGTGTCACACTAACACCACTGAAACCCTGCTTGTAATTAAAAAGTTTCACTCTGGGGAGAAGAAAGTGCTTTTTCTCTCTCTTTCAATGAATTTGCAAATGGGACAAATGCATGGTGCAATCTGCAAAGAATTTACACCAAAATAGAAGAATCCCTCTTCATGAGTGTCTGACATCTGTACAGGTTGTTTTTTCTCCCTCCCTCTCTTTCACTCTTTTAGGAACAAAGAGTGAATAATTCAGAAAAAAAAATCCATTAAAATCACTTCTGTCAAATTCACCTTTGGTATAAGGAGCTGCAATTTCTCTGTGTTCAAATTGTCTTTACTACAGTGGCATTACCTTATGTTGTGTGTGAATTTGGCTGTAAAACCTTACCTGACTACTCTGGAAAGCTCCTGGACCTTTCTTGAGAAATCCTTGCATTAGGAAATATCCTGTCCACAGTCTTGCCTACACAGAGTCCATTGTATCTATGTAAGCGTTCTGGTGCTTTTGAAAATCTAAGTTAAATTTTTTTGAGCTTTGCAGTAAAGCCGGAAAAAAAGAAGAAAAAAGAAACATAATTCAGACCTGTCTTGACTTAATGAGATTATTATGGAATAGACTGACTTCTTTAGGATTTGCCAGAAAAAAAATTAAAAAGAAAAAAAATCCACAGGAAAAAAAGAAAAAACCAAACGTAGCACCTATCAAGTTAGTAATGTGTATAAAAATTACACACGGAGTCCAGAGTTTGCCTCAGATGCAGTAGTTGCCTCGTCCTCTAGAGCAATAACGCGACTGACCATCCTTCTTTGCTTCCTCTTAGAAAGAGGGGGAGAAAAAGAAGGAGAGAAAAAGAAAAAGAGTAGTAATATATCTTCTGTTGCTAATACTGATATGCGATCTAAAGGGATTTGAGCCAACTTGGGGAGCTCTTTGAAACCAGCAGTAAAATTAATTAAGAAAGTTTGAGAGGGCTATGGATGGAAGGGATAATACAGAGAAGATTTTATTTAGCTTTGAAGAGAAGCCCTTTCTAAGCAAGTGTTTCACATTTGTGAGGAGGACAAAATTGCAAAATAATCCCTTTTTCTTTACATTTATTTTGGTTGCTCCAGATCATTTAAAACGGAAGTGAATTAAGCGGGAAGATCTCACACACAGAGAACCCGTAGTGGTGTTATCTAGAGAGTGATGCGTTCTCTTCTGTGTCCTCACTTAGAAGACAATTCTCTTGCTTCTGGCGCATGCGCTTTCTTAAATGACGTGGGAAGAGTAGGCAGTATTTTGAGGGATGCTCCCAGTAGGATTTTCTCTTCATCCTTATTTTGCTGCTTCTATTTGATTTATGCCTAAAGAATAAACTGTGTTATGCCTGTGCCAAATCAAAAGCCCTATGCCACCTCTCCTAGGACACCCCTCTTGCTAATGCCACCTGGAGAACACCTGGCACATGGAATTTGCCGGCCATCATCAACCACTGAAAATGTCTGCTAAATTTTCCTTCCTTGAAAAGCAGAGTAGACTTCTAAGTAGATTTGGTTTGGTTTACCCTTTGCATAAGTCCTAATTAGTGCTGGGGAAGAGAGTTTGCACTTGCAGATTACCATCTTGACAACTTTATTGCATGATTTTTACAGAGGCCTTGGGAGAAATGGAAGTCTCAAAGTTGAAAATAACCTTTTTGTCTAATCTCTTCAAAATACCCTGTTTTGCAACTCCTAACCAGGACTTGAAAGTGTACAGGATTTGGCAGAGTTGTGCTCACACTTGCAAAAAATTCAAACCAGTCTTTTTCTGCAATCTGAAAATACATGAGAGAAAAAACCATTTTGTCCTAAAGAAATCATAGAAATATTTTGAAAATAAAGTCCCTGCAGAGTCTTTGAACTACAAACAAAATGGAGCTGCCAATCAGACTCCCCTGGTATTATTGAAAGAACTACCAGCTTAATGTCAGTCAAAATAACTTTTTTTTTAAATTCAATGCTTGATCGATCCTGAAAATTAAGGGTTCAGGAATATTAAGCATAGCCATTAAAAGAAGTGCTTGTCACCCACAGAAAAGAGAAAAATAGAAGGCCCCTAGCAACGGCTACTCTAATACCAATTTAACTTGGACACAGAATTGCAGAGACCTCATGCAGGCTCACTTGGCAACACTTAACCTTCTTCAGCCCTCTGTTTCTATTATCCATTGCTATTTTTAGCCCCATCTGTAAAAATATGTTTTTGCCAAGGAGCAAAGGCAGGATAAATTGCAGAAGGCGTGTAAGCAAACAAAGAGATCACAATGCTTACAGGACAGTCCCAGTTGCAGTTTTGTTAAGCTGCTTCCCATTTGTGGAATGCAGCCCATTCCCCTGGCTTTGTGGCACCTATTCGGAGCATAAAGCTGCTCAGGCAAGAACTTGGTCTTTTGGCTTTTTTGTTTACGTCGAAAGCCTGCAGCACGTTGTTTGTACCTATGTAAATACATTACTTACTCTTGCAGGAGAAGATCTGCACTGCCCCACTCCAAGGAAAACTGGGAAAATCATGTTAAGTCATTTAGTGATAGCGCTTTGTACAAGCACCTGTAGCGGATGTGGACAGCTTCAAGTTCTCAGCTCGTGGTCTGCTTTTTCTGGGACGTATTACCTAGGTACAGGGCTATGCTAAGAGGTCAGGGTGACCTGCAGGCAAGCCAGGAGAGATGGCTCATCTCTGGCCAGCTCAAATTGTTGAAACAAGGAGATTTGTCAGCACCTTTATCTACAGCCATGCTGGAGAGGTCTTACTGTCACCAAAACGTCTAGGATAACAAGCTGAGCATAGTCTGAAGCGAAGATAGCCGGCTGTGGAGAACAGCTACCGTTCAGGGTAGGACAGCTTTTGGTTATTCAACACAGGCATTTTTGTGTCGTTGAGTTGTGCACCTGGCTGCTTGCTGCTGTGCCAGGAAGGTGTGGGTCTTGAGGGGTAAATCCTGTGTCGTGTCTGCCAGTGCTATCGAAATCTCTTGGGTAGTCACTGGGTCTGAGGTGGCACAGGCTAGCGACATTTACTCAAATTTTGCCCAGTGGGACTTCTTAGCTAGTGTGGTCCATTCTTACTGCTCTAATTTGCTCTAACTGGTCACTAATTGGAAGATGGTTTGTCTTGAATTGCTGATGGTTAGCAGCCACCTTCTAATTGCTGTTTGTTCATATGTCTGTTCATGGTTTGATTGTACCTAATTATTCTTGAGTGATGTTTTCTTTTGGCCTGCATTTCTCTGGGAGGCAATGTGAGTACCGCAGAACTCCTCTGTGATGTAAGGTAAAGATGTAGGAGATGTTCTGTGTGTGTAAGTAGTGAGTAAGGTATGGGGCTTCATCTGCTGTATCTGCTAACAGTACTATGTACATGATTAAAAGAACGATTAGTGTACTAAATACATTAGAATGAATTATAGCATGCTAGGTGTGTGAGCCAGAAGGCTGGACTCCTTGAGTTCAGTAGAAAATTTTGCTTTGTGGTTTTTTATCTCTTTCTTTCCCGTAAGGCTAGGAACTACATACAGCGCTTTTGTACGGCATCTTGTAACTTTAGCAAATACCTCTTCACAGAAATGGAACAGTCAGGTGGAAAATTCCTGTCGGGGAAGTGCAAGCCTTCCTCGTCCCACGAGGAGCGGGCTGTGGAAACCAGCCTCTCTCTATGTCTAATCAGACCTAACACGTGTAGCGCCAGTGACATGCTAATAAAACTGTCAGCCCTCGGGACCAGTAATTTACACCCGTGTTTTTAGATTCTCTGTAAGAAAAAAGAAACTCTGCTTGTGGATGAAAAATGACGTGTGAATCTGTAAGGCTAGGCTGAAAAGAAGCAGATGCTGACATTTCTAGAGTTAATATTTTTGCCTTAAAAACATATCTGTCATCAGCCTCCACTTATAAGAGTGGAGGAGCACTTATCTAAATAAACATGGCAGCTCTTT